AAATATTTTATAGGCTGCAAAGTGACACAGTTTTGTTATATACCAAAAAATTACATGGTTCCTGCAGCTAGGTTAAAATTGAATATTATTATTAAGATTGAATATTACAAACCTAATTCGGATCTGTGAAAATAAGAATTTTGAGTGAATCTTTTGTTATCTTCTTTCTTTTAAAAACCTAGTAAAAGGTCATCATTTGGAACTGTAAACTCATGCTTTCCTTTTCCTATTTATCCCGAAATCTTTGACTATTTGATTGATGTACAAATGCCTTCATCCGGTGCTTATAAGTGATTCATATACACCTCCCTCTGCTCTCTTCTTATGTCTCATTAGCAAAAATTATTTTCGCAATGGTTCTTCAATTTGTTTTCGATATCACATTAGAAACCTCTAAAATTATCAGTGTTTCTCTACTATATTATGCATGAATTATACATATAAACCTTCCTCTTGAATCACTCTATGTATTACAGAAAACCGCATCAAAATCCGTTGCGTAGTTTTAAAGATATAAGCATATATTGGGACAGAGAGACAGCGGGGCGACTTTGTTTTATTTTATGTAGTGATGATAAATAAATACATCTCTCCCTAACATCGAATTCTTATTGAAGGGGATGATTACATATAGAGAAGTATGAATTACAAACAATGTTGTCTTTAGACTTAATTCTAAAGGCTTAGTATTCTTTTATATCATAAGATTATTAAAAAAGAAATACGACCGTGAACATTACATAAGGGATAAAGAAAGGCACATTCAACTAACAACTCGTGTACTAATTATCATCAATATTGATCAGTCCATACAGAACTATAATTGATTCTTATTATGAATCAAAAGAAACTCATTGGCAATGAGTCGCTACATAAGGCCCTACGACCCAACATCTGTAAAATATAACACCGCCCATGGACTTGCTTATTTCAATCGTTTATTGTAATTTCAAATCAATTTGGCCATTATACGCAATTTCCAAATCATTACCACGTCTATGTCCGTAGGAATAGGTTCCAAGTTGTCACATATCAGTCATGAGTCATTGATTTTATCGAGCGTTACTTTTCCGCCCTAAGTAGCTTAAGGCCTAGATGGCGGCGCCTTAGGGGGGCTAGGTCCGGCTGGAGCTGTATAAAAGCGCCACTGCTCTTAAGAGGGATCAGTATTCTCAGGGCACCCACGGCACAACCACTAAAACTTGAAAATATGAAGGCTATCGTAAGTGCACTTCCTACATACAAATGTCCTTTATCTTACTTTCATTTCTTCAAGACTTTTATTTTAACGCATTTAAATTAAAAATAAACGATACCGAAATTATAAAATTAAAATATTTTAGATATGCAATGGAGCAATCTATTGAAAATCACAAAAAATCTGTGATTCTTAGTAGACAATTTGTCAGAATTAAACATTTAAATTGTTTATAGTGCTAATCTTTGCACTTCAGATTGAACATTAAAATATGTAGAAAAAGTGCGAAAAGATTGTCGCCGCTGTGGGAATCGAACCCACGTCTTCGGCATTCGCGGCCTGACGCTCTAGCCACTGAGCTAAACGGCTGATGACCACACCGACGAAAATCTTAACGCATTCCTCTACATTGTTTTCTTAGCATTTGAAGCAATGCTTGGCGCCATCTATTGTTATATCCTTTTCAGCATACAAACAATTTCGAATATCGTTTTACAACGATAATTCGAACGAGAGATGTCGCCATTGCTTTTTTAAAAATTTAAATTGTTTATAGTGCTAATCTTTGCACTTCAGATTGAACATTAAAATATGTAGAAAAAGTGCGAAAAGATTGTCGCCGCTGTGGGAATCGAACCCACGTCTTCGGCATTCGCGGCCTGACGCTCTAGCCACTGAGCTAAACGGCTGATGACCACACCGACGAAAATCTTAACGCATTCCTCTACATTGTTTTCTTAGCATTTGAAGCAATGCTTGGCGCCATCTATTGTTATATCCTTTTCAGCATACAAACAATTTCGAATATCGTTTTACAACGATAATTCGAACGAGAGATGTCGCCATTGCTTTTTTAAAAATTTAAATTGTTTATAGTGCTAATCTTTGCACTTCAGATTGAACATTAAAATATGTAGAAAAAGTGCGAAAAGATTGTCGCCGCTGTGGGAATCGAACCCACGTCTTCGGCATTCGCGGCCTGACGCTCTAGCCACTGAGCTAAACGGCTGATGACCACACCGACGAAAATCTTAACGCATTCCTCTACATTGTTTTCTTAGCATTTGAAGCAATGCTTGGCGCCATCTATTGTTATATCCTTTTCAGCATACAAACAATTTCGAATATCGTTTTACAACGATAATTCGAACGAGAGATGTCGCCATTGCTTTTTTAAAAATTTTTTTTTTTTAAATTGTTTATAGTGCTAATCTTTGCACTTCAGATTGAACATTAAAATATGTAGAAAAAGTGCGAAAAGATTGTCGCCGCTGTGGGAATCGAACCCACGTCTTCGGCATTCGCGGCCTGACGCTCTAGCCACTGAGCTAAACGGCTGATGACCACACCGACGAAAATCTTAACGCATTCCTCTACATTGTTTTCTTAGCATTTGAAGCAATGCTTGGCGCCATCTATTGTTATATCCTTTTCAGCATACAAACAATTTCGAATATCGTTTTACAACGATAATTCGAACGAGAGATGTCGCCATTGCTTTTTTTTAAAAATTTAAATTGTTTATAGTGCTAATCTTTGCACTTCAGATTGAACATTAAAATATGTAGAAAAAGTGCGAAAAGATTGTCGCCGCTGTGGGAATCGAACCCACGTCTTCGGCATTCGCGGCCTGACGCTCTAGCCACTGAGCTAAACGGCTGATGACCACACCGACAATTTAAAAAAGCAATGGCGACATCTCTCGTTCGAATTATCGTTGTAAAACGATATTCGAAATTGTTTGTATGCTGAAAAGGATATAACAATAGATGGCGCCAAGCATTGCTTCAAATGCTAAGAAACAATGTAGAGGAATGCGTTAAGATTTTCGTCGGTGTGGTCATCAGCCGTTTAGCTCAGTGGCTAGAGCGTCAGGCCGCGAATGCCGAAGACGTGGGTTCGATTCCCACAGCGGCGACAATCTTTTCGCACTTTTTCTACATATTTTAATGTTCAATCTGAAGTGCAAAGATTAGCACTATAAACAATTTAAATTTTTAAAAAAGCAATGGCGACATCTCTCGTTCGAATTATCGTTGTAAAACGATATTCGAAATTGTTTGTATGCTGAAAAGGATATAACAATAGATGGCGCCAAGCATTGCTTCAAATGCTAAGAAAACAATGTAGAGGAATGCGTTAAGATTTTCGTCGGTGTGGTCATCAGCCGTTTAGCTCAGTGGCTAGAGCGTCAGGCCGCGAATGCCGAAGACGTGGGTTCGATTCCCACAGCGGCGACAATCTTTTCGCACTTTTTCTACATATTTTAATGTTCAATCTGAAGTGCAAAGATTAGCACTATAAACAATTTAAATTTTTAAAAAAAGCAATGGCGACATCTCTCGTTCGAATTATCGTTGTAAAACGATATTCGAAATTGTTTGTATGCTGAAAAGGATATAACAATAGATGGCGCCAAGCATTGCTTCAAATGCTAAGAAAACAATGTAGAGGAATGCGTTAAGATTTTCGTCGGTGTGGTCATCAGCCGTTTAGCTCAGTGGCTAGAGCGTCAGGCCGCGAATGCCGAAGACGTGGGTTCGATTCCCACAGCGGCGACAATCTTTTCGCACTTTTTCTACATATTTTAATGTTCAATCTGAAGTGCAAAGATTAGCACTATAAACAATTTAAATTTTTAAAAAAAGCAGCAATGGCGACATCTCTCGTTCGAATTATCGTTGTAAAACGATATTCGAAATTGTTTGTATGCTGAAAAGGATATAACAATAGATGGCGCCAAGCATTGCTTCAAATGCTAAGAAACAATGTAGAGGAATGCGTTAAGATTTTCGTCGGTGTGGTCATCAGCCGTTTAGCTCAGTGGCTAGAGCGTCAGGCCGCGAATGCCGAAGACGTGGGTTCGATTCCCACAGCGGCGACAATCTTTTCGCACTTTTTTCTACATATTTTAATGTTCAATCTGAAGTGCAAAGATTAGCACTATAAACAATTTAAATTTTTTAAAAAAGCAATGGCGACATCTCTCGTTCGAATTATCGTTGTAAAACGATATTCGAAATTGTTTGTATGCTGAAAAGGATATAACAATAGATGGCGCCAAGCATTGCTTCAAATGCTAAGAAAACAATGTAGAGGAATGCGTTAAGATTTTCGTCGGTGTGGTCATCAGCCGTTTAGCTCAGTGGCTAGAGCGTCAGGCCGCGAATGCCGAAGACGTGGGTTCGATTCCCACAGCGGCGACAATCTTTTCGCACTTTTTCAACGATATTCGAAATTGTTTGTATGCTGAAAAGGATATAACAATAGATGGCGCCAAGCATTGCTTCAAATGCTAAGAAAACAATGTAGAGGAATGCGTTAAGATTTTCGTCGGTGTGGTCATCAGCCGTTTAGCTCAGTGGCTAGAGCGTCAGGCCGCGAATGCCGAAGACGTGGGTTCGATTCCCACAGCGGCGACAATCTTTTCGCACTTTTTCTACATATTTTAATAGAATTAAACATTTGTCAAAAGAACAAACTATCTACAAATATCACATTAAAGTATGTATCACTAAAAACATCATAAAAAAAACAAACTTTTAATTACAGATCTTGCATCTTGTACTTTTTATTTCTATAGAATGATTAAATTTATATTTGAAAAGTTATTGCCGAAAACATTAGCTTATTCCAGTATTCTTATTGTAATCGGTTAAATACTGCTCTATGCTCGAACGAAATTATTGTATAAACACTTATTGTGAACCAACGAGTCCGAAAAATTCTGATCAGTTCGTGTATCGAATCCTTTGCTGAGGTGTTATCGAGTTCTGTTTGTGAGCAGGTGTGCGTACTGTTGATGGCGGCCGTCGCGTACGGCGCGGAGGAGAAGAAGAACGAGAAGCGCGGCCTGCTCGGGCTCGGCTACGGGCTCTCGTCGGCGCCTTTGATCAGCCACGGGGTCGGCTTGGACTACGGCTACGGCGGCCACGGGCTCGGCGTCGGGCTCGGCTACGGGCTCGCGGGCCACGGGCTCGGCGTCGGGCTGGCTGGCCACGGGCTCAGCCTCGGCCACGGCATCGTCTCCTCCGCCCCCGTGATCAGCCATAGCGTGTACAGCTCCCCCGTTTATAGCCACGGGCTGGGCTACGGGGCGCCCCTCCTCGGCCTCGGCCACGGCTACATACATTGAAGCCAGCAAGCCGGAGCACAAGCCTGCTTGCGACCACTTCCCACAACGCTGTACCAACCTACAGCCGAGGGAAGTGTCGCTTAGCGGGCCGTATATATTGTATGTGTTGTAAATTATCTCACCTTGTATGTATTTAAGGGTAATCGAGTGGGTCCTGTGTGCCAAATTATAAATGTGTCTGCTGCTGTTCTTTATTCCTTTATTAAGTTCAAAAATAAATTTATGAAAATATTCAATGTCTTTGTTTAATGACGTTCCGTCATTCATATCCCGCACATTTGTTTACAGATGTTTGTGACATTTTATAGTAAATGCACAATTAATGATTATTAGAAACGTAAAAAATGTTATTATGAAGCGAAGGAAATGTAGTTATAACTCGTAAAAACCAAAACCTTCATGAAAAACAACGAAACAAGTCTAGAATTATTCTAATAGAAATGAAAGTTTAATATACTACACAAAGTACTTGATACAAGATAATAACAGTAGTACACGATAATTTTCAATTAAAACAATGCTAGAAAAGCGATTACAGTGTGCTGGAGGGATTTGATTGCACGACCTCTACGTTAGACTAGATAAGCTTTATCATATGTGTTTAATTCTATTCCCGTTAGGAATTTGTTTTTACATTTAATAGAAAACCAAAGGGAACTATGATTAATAAACGAATATTTAAACCTCTATGGGAATAATAAAAGCTATAACAATAAATGTGCCATACTTTGACAGTTTTTATTTGACAATGAGCTGACTCCAACTATTACTGAGATCTGTGGCAACACGCGAACTTATTCACAAAATAATAAAGGTAAACCTCTTTTTTAAGGCATAATAATTTTTATGGTGCTTTTTTCTGAACTCTAGATGAAACTTTTTTTAAAAACCCTCAAAACTTTGCGTCAATTTTTCTACAAATTTTCAAAGTATACTCCGATGACCGTTGCAGTTGAATTGCGAACCAGCCAGCTTCGACTCTCTACATATCCGACCTCTTAAATCATAACATGTGTGAAGACAAAATCATGATTACGATTAGCTAGATTTTTAGTTAGACCGCGCGAACGATAGAAATTCCACTGGCCCTGGTGTAGCCATAGGCTGTGACAAAAGTAATCGATTAATTCTTTATGTTAAATCGATTATAATGGATTTTTATCATGTTAATTTATTTTATTAGTTGGCCTATATGTGAATAAGCTTTTACTTAGGATAATGTTTTAATAAATTTAAATTTTTTAGAGTGCTAATCTCTGCACTTAAGATTAAACATTAACATTTGTAGAAAAAGTACGAAAAGATTGTCGCCGCTGTGGGAATCGAACCCACGTCTTCGGCATTCGCGGCCTGATTTTTTAGCCACTAAGCTAAACAGCTGATTGCCACACCGACGAAAATCTTGACGTCTTTTATCTACATCGTTTTTGGCATTTGTAGCAATGCTTGGCAAGATTTGCGTCGGTGTGGTAGACTAACATTAATCCTTTAATTTGTATCAGTAGATTATTTAAAAACGATTATATCTAAGCTTCAAACTATTAATAGACCTTCAAAACACGCTTCTTTTTTCCATTTAATAGAAATAATAACGAATAATATCACTGAAAAAGAACCAGACATAAATGATAGTGACTTAAAAAACTGACATATATCCATTTTATATCTACCTATTTGTTTTTATACATACTGTTACATCCCTATTTTTTTACCTATTTGAAACAGGTAACAACGCATAAAAAAATTTTCATTTTTGTTCGTAATTTACAAACACGAATCATTAATGAAAAGTCCGTGCTGAGTTAACTTTACTATAATTCATATTTTTTTTTAATTTTAGTTTGTATTTTTCTATAAGTCGCATCCCTTTTCTTGACCAGTAATTAAAACCACAAACGTGAAACGATGGATATCAAAATATTACTTCGAGCTGTTTCATACACTTCGATGAGTTCAAGGTTACGCATTACTTTTTAGTCCTGTCTAGATTTCAGAACTGGACTTTCCGGACACTTATGTAATCCAGATATGGTACAGAACTTGCAATTTCAAGTCACACTGACTTACTTTTACAACGCAACTAACTTTTCCAGTTCACATTTTGTATCGTGAAACAACTTTCTCGTTTGCTTCAAGTACAAAAATAGATTACGTACAATGCATATCACGGGTATTACAAAAATATTGCTAAAAATTTGTTATGTTCATGTGATCATATATCATGTTGTTATGGTCATGTATGATGTTTCAAATATCATAGAGACAACTGTTTATGAATCATCAAATATTTTTTTATAGTTTACACTTTTGTACAAAACTTTATAAGACATGGGAAAGGCTCACACCAGGCGAAGTGTTTCTAAAAGAAAAAAAAATAAGCGACATCAACGACCAATTGTTTATTTATTATCTTTAACATCGCACTTAATGTAGGTCAACATTAGCCTATGTGGATAAATCCATAAATTTCAAGTTTGCAAACACCCAGATGCAAAACAACTATCGGTGGGTCACACACTAGATTATATTTACCATACACATATTAGATTATTATCAATACTCATAGTAGATCTCCTATTTTAGGGCGCCGCAAAGCGCGCAGTGCGAGCTGAGGCAAGCGAAACGAAGCGATCGGCGGAAGTTTGCGACATCCGACTACTCGACCGTTGCGCACTCTCGGGCGAGCTATCCGGCCGTGGGAATGACTCATTTTGCACTGGCAATTGGCATAGCACGCCGAGTGCCATGTGCAACTTTAAAGTTTACAGAAACCTGTTTAATCAGTACTTCTGATTAGAGCTTAGTTTATCCGAATAGTCCATCTATTTTTAAACGAGAAGGAAAGACTGCTCATGGCGGTTATTCCCGTGGGCCATTCATATCAACAACACCGTAAAAGAACCGGTCACTTTTCTAACGTGCAAAAGGAATGCTAAGGTATGTTATAATGAAAAGTATGTTATATTAAAAGTGTAAGTAATAAGCTAAAAATATAATAATCTATCACTATAGAAATATAATCCCCTAAGCCAGTGGATGAATGTTCACTGCCAATGCCTTTTGTAAGATCTCTTGATTACTAAAATATGTCTCTAAAAATGAGCCATAAAATATGAACCTAAAGCAATTTTGTGTTTAGTTTAGATAAGGTATCAAAATAGTGCGTTATTTATTTAGTAAAATTTGTTAATTTGTTCCAGTACTTTCGACATTCTCATGGTACTTCCGCCCTTTAAAAGATGTGCCGGTGCATGGTTCTGTATGTCCGTAAGTCGTCTTGCTGTCTAGCGTACTTGTTTCAGCCGTGAGTCATTATAATTTGATAAGTTATATAATTCGCATGCATTTATGCATTATGTAACTGCGTCGAGCTGTCGTACAATCTAAGATCTAACGGGCTGACACGCGTGTCGGGGCAACGCCACTCGCCGCACAGTTTTCCCTTCCCTTTTCGCCTTCGTAAAAATTTCCACTGCCCCCAAACCAGCGCTCAGTTCAACCTTACTCCAGTTTTTGCAATTTTATTCACCACTACACCACATAGTGCTACGCACTATGTGGTTCTCTTTGCGTGGAAAACTTAGACGTTTGTATTGGTTTATTTCAATATTTAAAAAAAATCACTGTCCTTACTGTATAATGACACTGTCCTTACTGTACACTGTATAATGACGTTGTCTTGTATTATAGGAGCGTTTTACAAATATTAATTTCACGTGGACAAACGCCCAGATCCGAAACAATTACCTTTGAGTCACACAAATAGTGATCCCGTGTGGGAATCAAACCCACGACCTTGGGACCTGCGCCACTGAGCACACGCTTTAATCTTCAAATCAAATCAAATCAAATCAAATCAAATAAAAAATATCTTTATTCAAATAGATTCTTATGTAAAGTAAAAGTATCAGCCTATACATGTCCCACTGCGGATTGGCGGACTTCACATATCTTCGAAATATTTTTTTTTGTTATTATTTCGAAAATATGCAGGTTTCCTCACGATGTTTTCCTTCACCGCGGAGCACGTGATAAGTCAGCACTTAAAGTTTCGGGGGCACCGGGGATCGAACTCAGGTTGCTCGAGTATATTGAATTAAAGGCGAGCGCCCGGACACTGAGCTATCACGCCTTCTTATGAATCGTCAAATTTTACATAAAAAATTAATATAGGTTCGTAAGGTGGTACCACTGGCACATCGTTATTGAAATGCAATCTTTTTCACTTTGAAGTGACCTTAGAGATTGGTTTCAAGACGATCTAGCCTGGTTCGAAACCCACCGACATAACTTAACTGTTTTGTGATTCTGGATTTCTTTCTATTTTGATGACCTGACAGAACTGCAATTGTTATTGCGATTGCTCTGAACAAAGTTTGCATTATTATTATTATAGTAACTTAAAAAAATATTTGTTATAATAACGGAGACATTAAAAAACGGTGCACTGCTTTAAACGATTCGCAACATCATAACAATATAATATAACATAAATTTCGCGCGGCAGAAAATATCTTGTGCAAGCATACTAGGTCAACATTAGGCAATCGTAAACAAATCTCGGCCCGGTTAGATTAAAGAAAGATTTACATCAAGCGAGTCGCATCGGCCCCACTCATCACAAATGCGAAGTTTTTACTGAATTCATCTTTTTTCGACAAGCAACTTCGTATATTGCAATTTCGCTGCTTGAAATCGTAATTAATGAACATGGCCGATAAAATTTTTCTGAAAATGTTTATACTGTTCGAAAAATAGTCTTAAATTTCAACTGGTCAAACTAATAAAAGTAAGGGTTTCTTTATTTTTTTATCCTGTCGTTAACTAACCGGTAAAAACGAAATTGTGCGCACAGCCTCGCGTAATAATAATCGTATTATTAATAACTATGCGACTCGCCCTGGCTTCGCACGGGTAACATATAAACCTTCCTCTTGAATTATTCTATCTAGTAAAAAAAACCGCATCAAGATCCGTTGCGTAGTTTTAAAGATCTAGGCATACATAGGGGCAGACAGACAGCGGGACGACTTAGTTTTATACTATGTAGTGTGGGATATTTCACATCTATTCATCGTAGTGTAAAGTCGCGCCGACGCACCTCGATTGTGCTGAATCGTACTTTGGAGATATTAGGAAGGAAACAGGGCGTGGGCAGTCGGCGGCTTCCTTGTAGGGCGCGCCGGCTTTTTGCCCCAGCAGTGCGGTGTCGACTGACGGTTGCCCACGGTGTGCCAACCGATACGATTCCGACGCGTTACTTAACACGGGGCCCAACGCCGTTTTAGTTCAGGGGGGCCGTGTCGCGACATTCGAAGGCGGGGCAACTAACAATTTCGATGTACAGTCGCACAATTTATGTTTCCGTTTCAGTCAAAAACAATGCGTCATTTTTTAAAATGTCTGTATAGTCAGGGTGGCTTTAATAATGGTGCCCAAATTCACACAGGAGATTCAGACTCGGTAGTATAATCGTTTATTGAAATAAAAGCAAACTTTTTTTTTTAAAAAAAAATCTCCCTTTCTATTCCCTAAAAAACAAAACTTGTTGACACTGCGGTAGTCATTCATAAATGCGTCGTATACTTTTGAAACGAACTTGTGTGCGTTGTTAGTTATGAATGAACGCGCGTAAAATAAATGAGTTGCCCATAAATCACGCACTTTTTGAGATAAGTTCAAATGAATGTAATTAATTAATTACGAGTGACTTTAAATATTTATCTTTTTTTATATAATTACTATTTATGTCTAGAATTTAATAAAAAAAATGGATACACTTACAAAGCCTCCCTGTACATATAATGTATTGTATATATATATATATATAAGACATGACTTTTAGCTACTTCTCTAAAGATATTTCATTTACCTATTGATACTCGTAACATGCTATACAGATCGGCATTTCTTGTAAATACCAACCCGGCTGAGGTTTGCAACACGAACACCTTTCTAATGTTATTTGATGTTTGATGTTTGTGTGATGTGTAATTGTGTGATAATGTTACAACGTGAAATATCCGGTAATCATTTGTGAAATGCTATGCTCAATGACCTCAACAGTGTCTCCCAACGGGTGGGCCTTAAGATGAACATGGACAAGACGAAGATCATGTCTAATGTCCATGTCACGCCTATACCGGTTGTTGTTGGGAGCACTGAGCTCGAAGTTGTTGACGAGTACGTTTACCTAGGACAGTTAGTCCGGCTAGGTAAGTCCAACTTCGACGCAGAGGTCAATCGGCGAATCCAACTCGGATGGGCAGCGTTCGGGAAACTTCGGCAAATCTTCTCGTCACACATGATTGAAGACTTTAGTCTTCAATCAATGTGTGTTGCCAGTGATGACCTACGGAACCGAGACGTGGTCCTTCACTGCTGGCCGTATGAGGAAGCTCAAAGTCGCTCAGCGAGCTATGGAGCGGGCTATGCTCGGTATTTCTCTGCGTGATAGAGTTCGTAACGAAGACATCCGCAGTAGAACTAAGATAACCGACATAGCTCAGAGGATTAGCAAGCTGAAGTGGCGATGGGCCGGCCATATAGCTCGTAGAACCGATAACCGTTGGGGAAGAAAGGTTCTCGAGTGGCAGCCTCGTACTGGCCATCGCAGTGTAGGACGACCCCCCACTAGATGGAGTGACGACCTGTGCAAATGTGCGGGAAGTCGATGGATGCAGGTGGCTCAGGATCGTGGTTCATGGCAGTCTGTGGGAGAGGCCTATGTTCAGCAGTGGACTCAAACAGGCTGAAATGATGATGATGATGATGATTTGTGAAATAATTTTCCATATTATTCTGCATACTCTTTATTTGTTAAGGAGAGTGCAAGGTTTTAGTCTCAAGGAAAAACGGTGTTAAGATATGATAATAGAAAACAGTTGTTTTTTTCTGCATATAATAAGTGACAAAAATTGATAAAAGTTTAATCTTAAGTCATGTGTGTGACAATAAAGTCATTTTCAGTATCTACTATTAAATAAAAAATAATATATATTTTAAACATATTTGTGCTTTTTTTAATTTTGCTTTGAATATTTCATTCGTGCGCGAGTTCGACTCGAGCTTGACCGGTTTTTCGCTTCCGTTATCATCATGTGATGTCTGCTTAAACGTAGGATAAAGCCCTGATAAAAAGATTGTAGCAGTCATTAATTTTTTTTCAAATTCATCCAGTGGACGGAACTACTTAAATCACAAAATGTATGAGTGTTACATGTTGTTTGTTATGTGTGTTCGTGTGAAAGTTTTATTTGTAGAATAGGTGGTTCACCTGATGTTAAGTGACTACAGTCGCACATAGGTATCTACAACAACTGTTGGGTTGTCGATACGTCGCCAACCTACTTGAAAGTGACATACACCAGACGTGTAATACTCCCACTTCCGATCTTCTGTGAGGCGGTGGTTCTTCCCCGGACGAGGCTGCCCAGCCGTACCACAGAGGCTTCTTGGCTCTAGCACAGTGAAAACAATCAATATATTTATACATATACACATACATATCTGATGTACGTATTTTTTTTAATTCGTTTCGTTTAAATCTTTAAAAAGTAATTTGGAGCGTGTTTCCTAGGCGTCTCATCTAAAGAATCGAGTGCTTCACGCTTTACCATCAAGTAACTTTCGCACATTGCTTGACGATGAAAACTCACGCATTGCTGTAGGAATCCATCTGGGTGCACCGATTTGTCAACCACACCAATGCCCTTGTGGTGTCAGTGTAGACAAATTTGGTCTCCACGTGCTTTCTTGTCAAAAAAGTGCTGGCCGTTTTTCCCGCCACGGTTCCCCGAACGACATCATCCGTAGGGCTCTTGTTTCCGTCAATGTTCCATCTATTTTAGAGCCATGTGGCATTTTTCACGACGATGGTAAGAGACCCGACGGTTTAACATTGATCCCTTGGGAGAGAGGCAAAGCCCTTGTTTGGGACGCCACTTGTGTAGACACTTTGGCTGCCTCTCATCTAAGGGGTATTTCGGCCGGGGCGGCATCGGAGGTAGCTGAAGTAAGTAAATAGCGCAAATATGAGTCTTTATGTTTAGATTGTGTATTTGTGCCATTTGCTGTTAAAACTTTAGGTCCGTGGGGTCCCCGCACATCAAATTTTATTAAAAGTTTATGTCCTAGGCTTAACGCCGCGGCTGGTGACAACAGAGTTGGTTCTCTCGCTCAAAGGTTAAGCATAAATATTCAGCGAGGAAACGCAGCTAGCGTTCTTGGCACCATACCGCGTGGATTAGGTTTATTAGATAATATGTAATTTTAGATAGATTTAATCTTGTAAATATTAGATCAATGGGAATTTAAGAATAAAAAAAACTTTGATTGATAGTGATTAGATTATATAGTAATTAAAAATTAACAGTGTGGAAGCCGCCGACTACTCCGTAAAGAAGATAATTTTAATGTTCCTGTTTACTGTTTGAGGCATTAATGTTTTGTATTGAATAGAAAAGTTATTATAATCAATATAATGTATGTATGCGATTCTTATGAATACATATATAATTTAATTTTTTACATGTATCTATTATAATTAGGGTATAATATTTTTAGAAACAGATTTAAAGATATTTGCTGCAAATTACCGTTTGATAGAATGTATTGTCTCATCTCGAAAACTTATATATATATTATTACTTATTACTATATTTCAGAATTACAATTTTGAAAATATACATTTGGCAATTGTGTTTAGTTACGATATTCAATAGCATAAAGGGATACGATCGTCTCCCCATGATAAATCCTTCGAAGTTATAATCTGATCAAAGCCTGAAATTTTATATGCGATAAAACTCAGTGTAAATATAAAATTCAAAAGAACCTGGAATCTCGAAATCAGCCCGTCAGCGGATGTTCATTATCTAAAGACAGGGGTCATCAAATTGGTAATGCTCTCATGTACAAAATTCAATGCAATTAAGTAGACAAAATGGCATGCAGTAATATTTTGTTGACACAAACAGCTTTGTTCTTGATGTCTATGTTTATTATATGTTTGATTGATATAGTATTTATATATTATTTATTAAACCGGTGTCTCTTTCGTTCAACCTTTAATGGAATTTATCAAAATACGCCGTAAAATAAACTGGCACAAAATTAGCAATATTTATGGTCTGGTTTATCCACCCGGACTTCAAATCTCTCGGTATATATAACCTTATGAACCCATTTAACTACTCAAGGACGCAACGGACAGTTATCTTAATGCCATGATAGAGTTCCGTATAATTCACTTAATTAAATTTATCGACTCACGTATAATAGACGAAAAACTTTCCTATTTTTATTAACTTAAAACTTAGCCTTGGGGTCTTATATATAGAGACACTACACCACCATTTTTATCGGGAATACAAGTTACAGATTTTTAATGCTTCTTATTCATTTAACGCTACGTTTTAAAATAATCACATTTAAGCTAATCTATACATACTACAGATAAATAGAATTGGAGTGTCTTTTTGTAATATTAAAATAATCGAATAAAATGTATATGGATGTAAACACGGTACATATACCGAAATAACATTGTTTATAATTTTTGGCTGTCTGTTTGTTCCGGCTAATCTCTGAAAAGTTTGGACCTATTTTGACGGAACTTTTACTGGCAGATAGCTGATGCAATAAAGAGTAACTTAAGTTACTTTTATTTTAGAACTTTTATTTATATCAAATTCCACGCGGACAAAGTTGCAGGTACAGTATAGATACTATCTAATATAATTGTTACTCCACTGTAAATTGTGTTATATAATTGTAAATTGTCCACTGTAAATTGTGTTATGTTAATGTACGCTTCTAAAAATATTGCTCTTCCTTATTTATTATTAAACTCCTAGAATCTATACTTTGTTGAATCTGTACGCATAATCGACAGCGACACGCAAAACCTTAATAGCGTTCTCACTATATTCTGGTGAACCCTACGCATATTATTTTTATTAGAAGATGCTATCTTTTTTCGATCTATAGGGTCCAGTTTTTTTGCGAATATTTTTAGCAAATTATTATTAATTCTATGGTTATTCGGTATATAAGGAGACGTCACCTATACTTCAGTATCAATTTTGATCGAACTGTCTCTATTACACTGAATCGAACGCCTTCCGCGGCGACAACATAATGAAAGTTTTGGTGAGTTGCTATTTTATTTCGACAGGCGGATTAGTTAATATATTTATAAAGCAGATTATAGATATCAAGTCAGTTTTAAGATACATATTGAAAACGATGCAGCCATTTGAACAACTGTACTACCAGGGTATAGTAAGAGTTTTGCCAAAACTAATGTAGCTTGCAGAAAGTTGTCAGTCTCAGCACATTCAATTTTTTGTTAAGTAGAAAATAGGTACTCGATATTTAAGTAGCCTGAGACATAAAACGACAGTCAGAGTCCACCAGTAGTATATTTACTAGTTTACCGAATTTATTGTTTTTAAAATCTTTTCTAAGTTAATGTCGGCGTTGGCAAGATTGAATAAGATAACATTTCATCGTTTGGCAACATGTTTAAGGTTATTCTGTGTAAATATGTAATTTTGCAGGTAGTTTTTGCACTGGTGGCGGCTGCGAGCGCCGTTCCCGTGGATCGGAATAAGAGGAGTTTCTACCAGTACTCCAACCCAGAGTACTACACAGGAAGCGATCAGTACTATGTGGTAACTGTTACTTAAACTCTCACAACATTAAACCGTTATTCTGAATCAAAATCAATCAAAGAAATACGCATTTCATGTATCGATAGTCATTTTTAAAACTACCACAGTTTCGTTATGAGGTTCCTCTAACGGAGAAGAAACAGGGGAAAAAAACTCCGTAGGTAACCTTTTGTCACTCATAATTTTATTAACGATATAACAAGAAATATATATATAGAAAGCTTCATTATAACGTTCCATCGATAAAAAGAGAAATTTTCTCATAGAACCAGGTAAGGTGCTAGCAACGAGTGTTGCTAGCACCTTTAAACTTAAAATTCCGAAGATATTGCTCCTGAAAATTGAATGCTTTGACTACAATAAAACGTTAAACGAGCTTACAACTGTTTCGTTTCAAATCAAGGATTTTCAATTCAAAAGCTCACCCGTTCAAGAAAATGTATTATGCAAGATAGATAAAAAATGTGTATAAATGTATTATGAACTCCAAGACACATTGCTGCCTGAAAGGGGCTTGTCTATTACTAACAACACTGTAATGTCCGTGGGATTATATCTAAAGGTATATATCGATTTTAAGGGGCATAGTACTTAAACATTTTTAACAAAATCAAATTTTACGTTATTACTTCATCTATCTTTTCATTGTAAGAAAAAACTGTACTCTTCCTGTCACAGATTATGAGATTATGCAAAAAGCGTAACGCAATTCGCCACGCGATTAAAACGCTGATTGTCGGAATCAATCTTTGCCTTTTGTATTTATTATTCATATAACCGATATTTATTTATCAAAAAAAAACTACAATTAACAGTTGTATAGGTTTTCACGCCACTATTTAAATTTGGAAGCAAACATCCGCACACGACAGAGGCACTGTGGTTTCCGTTAATGCATCTACTATTTTTTTTTGACATGTGATTGTAATTGTTGTGAAGTTGTAAGTAGTTTCTAAAGTATTTTAAATTCATTACAGAACCAGGCCTCATCGCCCGTGTACTCAGCGTCGCCAGCTTTGTACTCGTCTTCGCTGTACAACACCCAGGGGTTGTCGCAGCCCACCTACAGGGTGCCTGTGTCACAAACGGGCGCCATTTACCAGCCGTCAGTATCCTACACGTCTCCTTCTTACGTCACCGTGCAACGGCCGGAGGTCTATTCGCCGTCCAGACTGTACCCCGCACCCCTGACCACGCAAGTTTCTTCCCCGGCGCTATACAACGCGGAGCACTCCTCGCACGCCTCCTCGTCGTCGGTGTACAGGGTGCAAGCCCCGGCGAGTGTTACGTACTCGGTGCAGGCGCCGCGCGCCCAATACATGGCCGCACCCTCCACATGGCAGAACAACGGAAACTCGTGGAACTTGAACAACCCGTGGTGCTAAATATTGGATTGTGTCTATTTCAAAATTCACTTTAATTAAAAGTTTTTTTCGTTGAACGAACAATGTTTCTTTCTTCTCTAAATTTTCCCACATTTTTCACACATCTGTCTATGATTCCTGCAGCAAGTGTTTTCTAAGACAATTAGTCAAACTCAAGACGCTAGGTTTAATTTATATTAAAGCATTAATCTTTCCATATAAAACTAGTAAAACTACCTACTAAGTAGTTTTAAAGATCTAAGCATACATATGGACAGACAGACAGTCAAAGATGACTTTGTTTTATACTATTTTATTGTAGTGATTTACTAGAAAATATTTGTGACTAGTCGTTGTAGAGAAAGAATTAAAAGCCTTGCACAAAGATCGGCAAGAGATTAGTAATAACGCCACCAATAGATTAATAATATCAAATTTATTCGAAACTTTTCTATTTTTCATTTGCCTTTGATATCATCTGCTCAAATCCTGTTTCAGAATAATAACCATGTCACTATTATTAACAAGTAGTTCTTAATGTATAAAAGGAGAAATTATTTTTTTTCTGGTTAGTTCAATATTTAACATCTAAAGTGCAACTAGTAACAAAATGATGATGATAGTGGTAAGTTATGTAATGTTTCATTGGTAATTTTATTTCCTTTTTCGATATACATTTCCCGCACGAAGAAATATTATATGTGTCGCGGAGTATAAATATCCGTTCGCGGAAACAAAACATCCGGAAGATATGCTTAATCTTAAACTTCCTTTAGCTCTGTAAGTCCTGTTAAAAGTAACGGGCGGTTGTTTCATTCAGCCTTGTTTCGTTAGCATGTCGCCGCGAAATGGCTAAAAATAGCAGATAGAGAGTGGGATTCGAACTTACGACCTCATGTCATACAAATAAAAGTAAATAATTACGTGCATATTGTTCTAAACTTTGATAAATTTTGACATAATTATTTTTAAGAGATATGGAATAATCATTGTTTTTCCACGAGTTAAAAAAAAAACATGCAGCCATATACAGAAATCATACCCAGACAGCGAGAATGTTGAATAGAAATAGAACATGTCACGCCATAGCAGGTGGCTAGATAAACTGCGTCGACGCAAAGATCTACGCCGTATATAATTAAACCACGTGAAATATTAATTTCTTTTTAAATCCAGGTTCCACATTTTTTCGCGATGAAATGCTGAGTGATGAACTTTTTGGTGCACGTTTTTCTAAATTTGAATTGTCATTTTTTTATTTTTTTTTTTTGTTATGTACCAAATAAATATCTCTTTCTTGCTAAATGTGAATAGGATGGTATTGTTACAGCTTTTTCTGGGCATCGTGACATTGGGGAAGGCGAGCGAGCTAGTATCGAGTTCCGGTAACAGTTACCAAGTAATCTCATATTCCTAAATTGACTTTAGTCTATTATTGCTTTTGTTTTCCGACGCCTTTATACTGTGCTTAATATTTTTGTATGCGCATGGGAGACGTGTTCTCTTCTTTATGTTTTAATTAAACAATTCTATTGCAATGTTTTGTCATGTAATGCCTGGAAGAAATCCCTTATTTATAGAGCGATAATACCGCCTGTTTTAGATTTTTATACGCTGTACATTTTTATTTATTGATGCATTTGTTTTATTTATCTGTGAGCCTGCCCATTCATGCAACAACCGAAGTTGAATTATTATAAGCTAATTATAATTTCCTGATATTGAGTAAACTAATGAGTTGCTCCTTGGATTTTTCATTAGAATTGGAAAAAAATTTGGTCAAGGTAATAGAAAAATTAAAAGAATTTCCTATATAAAATTTCTCTATAAAACATGTCATCATCTTCACGTATCAAGTGGTTGGCAGCATTTTTTTAAATTAACCCTTATCACTAAATTAAACGGTACTAGTTGAAGTGAATTCTAAAAACCTTTATTGTAAGGTCAAATTATGTCATTACCTATAATATTTTTTTTTCTTTTCAGACGCTAAATCAATTCCACACGCAGGGGTCGCTTCCTTCGCATGTATCCTCAAGCGTTGATGACGCACATAAATCAGCTGGTTCTTTACATGAATATCCCACGTCCTTAACGTCACAAGGCTCATCTATTAAGGATTATTTTTCCGTGGTTAATCATGGATTAGCCTCAACAGAACCCTCAGTTACTGCGAAAGGACCTATATTATCGTCGCGAACGTATTCACCAGGTGAACTCCAGGCAACGTTAGTAACGCAATCTTACCCACAAGTAGAGCAATTTTTATCTACTGAAATCCCTTACTCGAGTGGATTTTCAACGCATGTCGACTCAACACCCTCTACGTACTCATCTACATTTTCAACAAACAATATTCCACCTGTATCGAAGTTTAATACCTTAATTAAAAAAGATTTTTCTGCTGTATTCCCTGAGTCTCATTCTACTTTTGCACCATCATCCTTATTTCCTAAAGGTTTTTCTTCACCCATAACAGTCAAGCCCACCCCTCCAACCTTCCCTATATTTACAGCAACAAAGAGTTATCCAACAGTATACACATCATCAACACCTTCGATTTATCCCACTACTTACTCTGTAAGTTTAACCACTCCTGTTACGCCTAGTGCTTATACTACTGAGAACCATAAATCTGTGTCGTATTTCCCTTACAATTCAGGCATATCCAAACCTTATTCGACGCCTGTTTCTTCAACAAATTCCTTTACTTCGATTCAATCAACACCTCAAAAGTTTTCCACATACTCTAAGGAGGTTTCAACGCCAGTGCCCGTAGCCTCAAATTCCGTAAAGTTAAATACAGAATCTAGTGTATCTCAAAATGTAAACAACTTCATTAAACCTTTGGAATCAGTAACCTCTGTTGCATCTAAAAAAACTTCGGCTATTACCGAATCAAAAAACACGCATGATGCAGCTTTAGCATCGCACTCTGATCCAGTAACATTTACAGCACTTTCTCACGCTCCAATATATACAACAACCTCTACAAAAGGGATATTTTCAACAGCTTTCCCGATATCCAATAATATTCACGGTTCCACTTATAGTGTCAATTCTAAACCAATTTTAGGACACAGTTCGTCTTCTGGCGTATACTCTGAGCACTCGCCTTTGCATAGCATAAACTATGATGTGCATAATAAACCTCATTCAGATCAGCAGTCACATTATTCGGGACACTTTTCACCAAGCGTCGCACTTTCAGACAAAACTGTGTACTCTACATCCGTACCGATTTCGTTCTCATCTTTTCCATCACAACCCATACCAGGACTTTCGTCGTATCCTTCGGTGTACTCTGGAACGTGGGACAAAAACGCAAAACAAAGCTTTATTCACCGAGTGTACAACCCTGAAATTTATACAGTGCAAAACGCACCCCTAACAAGAGAATACCATACAATTGAAGTCCCTCAAGTCAAAACTTGGAAAACAATCGATACCTGGCAAGTTATACCTGGACATCATTTTGGAACACATTTGAATAAGTAACAAATACTATTTTTCATTTGTAAGTAAAATTAAAAATAATAATAACACAAACATTTTACAACATTGAGACGGATACACTTAGGATTATTTGTTTTACATCTTCTTACTCTTGAAGGAACACTTAAAAGCTATATCAATGCCACATATAGGTCTAAACCCAGCTTTGTCTAGGATTTCACTACACGTTTTCGAAGGGAATTAAACTAGCAAATGGAAGTTGGAATCGGTACATATTCTTTTTATAAAGGGTTACTTAGGTTTTTATAAAACTTTAAATGAAGTATATAAAGTCTAAGAATATTTGTACTATTTGAGTATTATTAATAAAGGGTTATTCACAAATATCTTTGTTTTAAACTGTACTTTTTTAAATTAAACTTGAAGAAAAAGTGAATGTTGTTTAATTGAAACCTATGTCATGATTTATTGCGTTAAGTTCCATTTTTTATATTTTACCTTTTATATTTTTTACTCGTGATAATTTCACCAATAACGCAATCAGTGTATATATCCAGGAAAATAAAAAAAATATTCTATTATTAGAGAAAAGTAACGATTATTTTGAGGATGATCGGATCGTCGTATCTCCCAGGTATCAAAATACTAATTTAAAATGCTACATTTGAGCAGATTCACCTTTCTCCTTTGTTGTTGTTTTTTTTTTCTACTTAATTTCGGTGCCATGATAATAATGGTTTTGAAGATGCATAGATAGAACTGAATTTTCAAAAGCCACCACAATCAAGCTCATTAATTCAAGGTTGTCTGCAAAGAGAATAATTATATGAAATTAATATTCAAATTGATACTAATTATTTAACCGTTGGTAACCATGACTCCTGGTTAGCTCTTTTACCTTGCCAAAGCTTTGTAGATTAGTAGTTAAATACACGTTTTCGTACTTCCTTCTTCTATTTCCTATTTTCATAGTGAGAAAAATAAAAAATCAGCCTCAGTTCTTTTTTATGTGAAAAGTTGCCAAGCGAGCAGACGGTTCACCTGATGTTAAGTTGTTGTTAAGTGAATACCGCTGCCCCTGGACATCTGCTACACCCGAGGTTTCCAATTGAGTTGGCAACCTTTTGAAAATTGGGTTCCGGCCTCCTCACTCACCAGACGAAACGCGAAATTCCACTTTAAATTCCACGAGGTATTCCACTTTAGGCCGGCCTTCTGTGAGGTCGTGGTACTTACTTGAACGAGCCTGCCCATTCGTGCAACAGCCGAGGCTGCTGCGTGGCCCTACCACCGTACAAGTTGAAATGGAAGTTAAAGAAAATAAGTTGAATAACAACTTAGCCCAATTATTATTCGTAAATGGGGATAATTCTTAAAGTAAAAACGCCTAACTACCAGATGCCATTATAATTTATGCGATGGCGTCGATTTTAGAGGTTAATCTATGAAAAACACTCTGTTAAGATGCTCAGATGGCCGATTGATTAACATTACATCCCGAGGTCGCTCTACACGAGCGGTTTCTTCTGCGTCCGGTCCGGTTTTGAGTGACCGGAATGCGTTTTTATATTTTGTTATTGTCTCATATGAAGTCATCATGTGGCTGGATTTGGGAATGCATTCCCAGTTTGCACCTGTTTTGTGCCTCGCCCTTTCCTAATTGAGATTGAATCTCTAAATCCCACGTTAATGGCCGTATAGGCGTGGAGGTCTGCCAGCAAATTGGCGTTCGTATGTTAGCGTAATTGATTACTCGGTATTAATTACTATCGCCAAGTGTTAAGATCTTTTAGGAAGAAGTTAATGTGGTGACGTCTATCAGTAACTAAATGTGAGATTGATTATTAAAAGTGAAACATCAAGGAAAATTTATAGAAATTGAAAAAAAAAATGGGCAGCCCACGCGGCACATGCACATGGACATAAATCGCATATTCAATCAAAACACTTTAAATTAACTGAGGTTGTCTTCAAACTTAAGAATTTGACAAATAAACAATAACAAATATAACAAAAATAAACAAAAACAAATAAATCTTGGACTTTTACAACAATATCATATTAAAATTCTACTTTTGTTATAGTTGTTTTCTTAATTTCAGACCTAAAAACGTTTATGATCTAAAGTATATTGATCATAAAAGATCAAAGATTTTTACAACACGTACACTATATGGTGTATGTTTTTCCCATTTGAATATGTAATTAAAAAGTCATTATCGTAGAATATAAGTATAGGTAATTACGCAGTTATGTATAAATAACAAGCAGACCTTTTCGATATTAAGAATAATTTCATAAGATAACAATTAACTATATAATTTTCAATTATGCTAATATCACACAATTAATTAAACGATCTTTTTATATCTTAACTCAATTAAACTTTGGATTTCAATTGTAATGTTGGAAATTATAAGTCATCAAGTTCATCATTGCTTGTGAATTGAAGAACCGGTGTTTAGAGCAAACAACCGATTGTGTGGGAATATTTTGATAGTTTTGTGGAAATCGACCATCTTTTTAAGACTCTCTTTTTAAGCCTTAGTGGAAGTACTTAACGTTTCGTTTTTGGTATTGGAGTCTAAACCTGTGACCTGTAAGACAGTAATTACAGGGGTAAGACTGCGTCTTATGTAGTGTTAATAAAAAAAACTCACAAACTTAAAACATCTAGGTATTCAGTGGGGAAATTCATCTGAAGATAGAAGCGCAATATCGTTCCATTTTCTTGTCTTTGAGAGACCTCCAGCCGTGTCACTGTGTATTCAATAATATTCTGTTAACCTCTTTAACTTCGGCCTCGAGATCTACTGACCTATGCATATCGAAAATCTCCAACAATTTTGAGCTCATTATAATTTTGAGAGCGAAGTTTGCATTTTGAAACGGCGGCCCGACCTTGCCCTTGCGGGTCCCGTCGGTCGCCACTCGGGCGAGAAGGGCGAGTTGCACAACCCTCTCGCGTTTTTGAATTAATCGCCCTAAGCTTGTATAAATGGCAACAGAATAGAAATTTGGACATCACACATCTCTCGGCGTCAACAGCAGCTGTCGATTAAGCACCATGAACGCCTTTGTAAGTCTTTCGATACATTTTATAAAATGTTGCACGTCGCTGATTAATAACTTAGTTTGATTCTTCCTGGTTTGATAATTTATTATTTAGTTTGATTCTTCTCTGATTTGATAATTTATTACTAAAAAAAATACAGGTACAAATTACAAAGTAATTATTAAAAACTAATAAATGATTAGGGGTTAATTTTTACTTAGAATTTTAAAAAATACGGGAAAACTTTTAATAGGTATTCTTATAATTTATTCCGTATTCCAAAACCTTACTGCTTACAAAAACAAATAAGTAGAATTCCCTAAGTGATTAATAGAACAAAGTAAAACAAAAAGGGTTTTAGCTCTTGAAATTGTCAATGAATCGCCTTATTTCTTAAAAGGGTTCAATTACTTCGCTCACCTCGTACAGAACTAAAGATGTGCGCAAATGTAATCCAAGCGCAATTTAACTACACTTATTTTGATAATTTTTCATACGTCCAAGGCTTATAAGCCTTATACATTTTACCTTATACATTTAAGTCACATTTGCATATTTTGTCGTAATTTATGCATCGTTTAAGAGACCACACCTAAAGCTTCATTTCGTGTTATTTATTACAATGTAACACGATCGCTCGATTGTGACGAAATCGTCCTATTTCAAAATAAGGTGTTAATAGCGTTTGCAAAAACTTCAGTTCCAACTGTAACGGATCAGGTGATTTTTTAGCAACCATCGTGTTTTGACATTAGGAGCATAAATTACATTACGCTTATTTTCTAAGTTTTATATTAAACATTATCACAAATTATTAGTTTTGTTTTATCTATTTGTATGATAAATATACAGTTAATGAGAAACAACCGATCTCAGTTGGTCGAATCCAGTTTTTTATTTATTAATATTATATGTTTATAACCTATTCGCTAAAACGAATAGGTTATAAACAAGCGAACGGTGTATCTGATATTAATTGATTAGCTCCACCTTTAGACATTTACAATACCTGTGATGATGCAGATGCGTTACCAACCTTTTCAAATTGCGCCCCGGTTACCTCATTCAGCAGCAACGCAAAAGTGTATACTTCCACCTCACGACGGACGGATGCCCATACGTATAACAGCAGAACAAGTATTGGCGACATTTGTATTCAGGTGGACTGAAACATGCATATACATGTAATGCAAGAATCATGGCACTAGCTCTTACAACTGTTTACAAGAACTAGAATTAAAGAGCTGAAAGCTTATTACATGAAGAACCTGGAACGATTAACACGCTCCTTCTTTCTTACAGGTATTCGCAGTTTTGATCGCGGTAGCAGCGGCGGAGACACGTGACAAGCGGGGTCTTCTTGGTGAGACTGTAGTTAGCTCTACGTCCCTGCACCATGCGCCGATTCTCGCTGCTTCACCGTTGCTGAGCCCGTATGAAACTGCGCCATTGCTGAGCTCGCACGGCCTTCACTCTGCCCCACTTCTGAGCTCGCACTCAGCGCTCCACCCGCACTCGCTGTACTCCTCTCCCCTCCTGACGTCACCTCTGCTCGGCTCATCCTCTCTATACTCCCCATCCCTATACTCTCCATCCTTATACTCTCCTTCACTTTACTCCTCGTCGCTGTACTCTCCTCTTTACGGTGCAAGCTCTTATTACAGCCCAAGCATTCACTCTCCACTCCTCTCCTCTGGCTCCCTTCTGAGCTCGCACGGGCCCTTGCTCACTTCTCTTTCCTCCCCCCTCGTTGCGGCCCACTCGACCCCTATCATCACCACGCACTCATCCTCACCAGCTGTCACCGTTGTGAAGACTTCCTCCGTGGTACACTCGGGCTCAGGTCACAGCAAGCACGGGTCGGAAAAAGTATCAACGGTTTTGTAAATTATGTTAGTTTTAAGAAATTAGTGAATGAAATAAATATTTTTTTACGGAATATGCGTATTAATTTACGCTAAGTATTGTTTAACATACATTATGAATACTGTTACTGGTACTGTCCTAGAAGCCATGATATTTCAGACAAACCGATTTTTAAATTCATAAATTGCGATCATAAACGCACAAGTAAAATGAAATATATTACAACTTTCGTTTACACATTACTTTTTACTAAAATTGACTGACTTTTATAATACTCAATAAGATAAATCTAAGCAATAAGATAAATATTTAATATAAAGAACAACAATCCAATATTAAATACAATGTCTATCCTAGATCTTTTAATAGATGAGTATAATGTAGTGAGTCATTAACGTGATTTTAATTTTCATTAAATGTTAGGAAAGCTTTTACAAGTGCCTGTACTTTAACTGAAGCATAATACTTAAGTAGTAATATTAAAGTGTTCTCAAATAAAGTTAAAAATAACGTAATGTCATGTCAAGTGGCAAAGCCAATTTTAACCAACAACAGATTTTCTATTAAATATAAGCGTTAAGTCCACTGTTGAACAAATGCCCCCCCTTTGAACACATAGAACGACACTATGCCATTTGCCTCCGCCGGTTGTCCGCTACTTCTACGATGTCGTCGGTACTCAAATATATCTTTTGAAACTCCTGAGCATTTGCGCATACTACTGCAGAGGTAGAAATTATCTTAAAAATATGTAAATATTGCTAATCCAGTTTGTCCACACAGGTCCGAACGATATTCTTAAAATTTTATAAAGTAAATAAAATAAAACAGAAGACCTGTGGGGCTTATCGATATGGATAACAGATCCTACAATCTATGACGTTACTTGTTTATTGGCCCAAATATTTAATGTTTTTTACATGTTTAGGTTATAGCATATTTCCAAAATTATTTATTTTATAATTTATGTACACAGAGTATATGAAAGAAATATCATTACATGAAAATATTTGTACAAAGGCCCTGCTTATTTCTTAAGAAATAATCTCTCATCAGTATCATCTCTTTTTTCTTAGCCTTAAACCAGAGTATTATAGAAAGTAATGGTGGAACCATTAATAATAGTAAATTTTAGTAAATATAATATTTTTAATCAGCACAATAATTTATTTCGATTGGTTGAAGGTGATGGGAACTCGCCGTATAAATGTATGCTAATATATAACCGCAACATAGTTGTACCATTAATTTAATTTTTTTAAAAGGCCATTTAAGCGTGATTCACAGACTCCGATCGCGGCAGATGCAGGCGCGTCAAGATAATCGTAGCGATTACTTAAGTATAATAGATTACATAAGACCGCCTTCGCTTCATCAGAAATGATCGAGTTTTGTGGATATGTTAATGATATTCCACTGGTTGCACATTAACCTTAAGTGGAGGATTTAAATTTAAGAATATTAGTTTTACAAAGAAATTAAGCGTTACACTTCTGCGTTTCGTCGGGTGAGTGAGGTAGCCGGGGCCCACTTTATTAAAAGGTGGCAATGCATCTGCAACCCCAGGAGTGATGCATATGTCCATTGGCGGCGGTTATCACTTAACATCGGGTGAACCGCCAGCTCGTTTGCCACTTTCTCACATTAAAAAAAAAGTTTCCTTGCCTAGATGACTCATTTAAAAGTTACTCGTATATGTTTATAACATCTCTTGGTCTGGTCGGAGGAGTATAAGTTTATTATGTGTGTCGTGCACCGAGAATTTACCAGTAAATCGTTAAATAAGGGGTTTTGATCATCCTATAATAAAGTGGTCCCCGGCTACCTCACTCACCAGACGAAACGCGAAGTTTAAAACTTCCACTTCATGCCGATCTTCTGCGAGGCTGTGGTACTCCCCCGGACGTGCCTGCCCATTCGTGCAACAACAGAAGCTGCCACGTGGCCTTACGTCCAGCCAGAGTTACTCTTAATCTCCGATTTACTTTAGTGAATGATGTTAATGATTATATTATGTGAATGATATATTTTGAAACGGTCATTGGCTTACGGTATTAAGTATGAAAGAAGTACTATTGTAAACTACTTATTCTATAGTAAAAATCAATTTTTATTCCTCTCAAGCCGATATGAGAAGACGAATTCATAAGAATAATTATTAGTCAAATAACAGTGCTAGTGTGTTTGGATGACGAGGGTTCTAAGCTTAGGAAATCCATGGTTTGTGGGCTCGTAGCTTACATGGCGCATGTATATGAGTGACTCTACATATAACTATTCTGAATCTATGTGCAAATGATCTTTCAACAAGTTACACCTAAAATGAGACCACTGTTGAAAACAACCTTAAAAGGTACTCATGAAAACTATTAAGTCTGTTCTGCGTAGTATTAAAACCCATCAGGATTTAAGAACCCAGTTTGTACATTCTAAAATGGAGTACAATATAAATTACACGCGAGTTATCGTTTGCGCAATCAGAGAGTAATTAAACAGTATCCCAAGGTCAGATTATTATATAAAAGTCATGGGAAAATGTTCTTAAATGAGTTCTTACGTGATATTTATACATAGCATAATCAGATGCATAATATGTTAATCGCGCCGTCCACAAATACATATGTTTTGATTTTTTGTGGTTTTGGCGCCATAAAAAACTGGTTGCAACCGCTTTCGGGCATATAGCGAAGGTCAAGCAAGATCGATAGGATAATAAGGCTACGTGAGATAATTTAGGCCAACAATAAAATTAAAAACAACATTGATGTATCCGGCTACAACGCGTTGTATACGATTAACGACCTAAACTAAAATGTCTAAAGCTTATTGATGAACCTTAATGTACAAAATAATTAATGGCTTAAAAACTATACAGTTTGACATAAAAAGTGATTTATCTTGTATAAACTGTTGTTAGTAGTTTACTACTGAAAACTGCTAAGTAATAACTATTTCTTAGCGCGGCTGCCCTAAGCAAACCTGGCGGCGGACGGTCATCGCAGAGGTGAAGGACATAGAGAAGACGTGGAGCGAACTGAAGCGTGAAGCTCAAGACCGAACGGGATGGCGACGCACTGTGAAAGCCCTTTGCCCCATCTAGGGGAAACAGGACCATAACACACTAACTATTTCTAGGTAATATGTATCTTAGAGACCTTAGTGTTGCTTCGTAAACCGCGAGACACCATTGCGAATAGCACACTTCACTTATATTTGAAATATGATGTTTATTATTTTGTAGATACGTAAGTCTAGGATGTTTTTCATTCAAGTCGGTACTGGAATTTGGACTCAGACCTGAGTCACTCAGCTAACACGGCCCCCTTTAATTGAACTAAATGGATGAGTTATTTCACTTTGAATATTTTTAAATAACAAAATTTTAATGATGGAATTATTTTTAATTAAACCTTATTTTTATCGTACCAAACTAAGTTTGAACAAAATTTTCTTGTTACGTTCAGAGATGCAAATCGAATGTGTAATTTATGTCAACTCTGCGACTTACAATATATTGTTACGGGTTCAGTATCTATTTTTTATTTGAGCGGATCTTTAAATTGTGTTCTAAATTTAGAATAGCAGACCACAAGTTATAAACAATAAAAATTGTAACGTTGAATGATTCATTTATCATGTTCATCGGGTACATTTCCAGAAACGTCAAAAATCTCTGTGGTAAATCCACCGTTCACAAAAGGTAGAAAGGATGACGTCAATAATTATCGTTCGATTACATTAACAGCACATAAACTTATACTTGTTGCTGATGACATTTCCATTAGTGACATCATATAAAAATTGTAATACAATTACATATCACGAAATTGACATCAATAACGCAATTGACACATCAATTAAATTATTAGGAGCTAATAATAAAGTGGGGACGGGCACAGGCATATTATTTACTATTTGTTGCTAACCAAGTCATTATAATGCCTGAAGAACATCTAAGGACATATCAAGATTATTTATATTATATTTACTATGGATTATTATAGATTATTTATATTAACCTCACGGGACGTTGGGATTAATGTAGATATCAGTACATCAAATGTCTAATGTCAGTTGCTCTTGAAAATGCTTTTAATTAAAATATAAACAATACAATATTGATGACTCCGTGGCGCAGTGGCCAAGGTAATAGCTTCGGCGTCGGGGTTCGATCCCCACACGGGAGAACTATTTCATATGGACACATTATCTAGATCGAGTACTACACGGGCTGTTTATTTCGTTGACGGAACCCAAGACAAAAGAAAAAATTGAAGATCAATGAATTGACAATAAAAGCCAGAATAATATACGGTATGATCTAACGAGAGTCTGCCTGGGATAGCGGGTGCTTCATAACACATTATCGGCCATTGTTGACGGAAAAAAAAGATAAATTATACTGTGATGTCCCACGCTGGGTCCCACGCTGGGAACCGCCGTTTCTGATAATATAAAATATTGCGACAACCTCATGTGCAATGTTATTAATGAATTAATCACTTATAAAATCAAGTGTCTCCATTACATAATTGTTGAAGTCTTAATGTCGTTTCTTATTCTGAGTTTGGGTTTGGAACGCGATGGGTATGCACCAATTAGTTTCCCGCTATTAACACGCGTACGAAGACTTTTAGTGCCTCCAATTTACAACGAATTTGGGCCACGCAACAGTGTTGCACGAATGGGCAGGTCCGTCCGGGTAAGTACCACGACCTCATGGAAGACCGGCGTAAAGTTGAAGTGTTGCACTTCTTTTCGTCTGGTGAGTGAGGTAGCCGGGGCCGACATTATTAAGAGGTGGCAACGCATCTGCAACTACTACGGGTTTTGCATATGTCCATGGGCAGGCGGTTAACACTTAACATCAGGGGAACCGCCAGATCGTTTGCCAATTCCTCACATAAAAAAATATGCTTTGCAACATTCAACGTGTTTGGCGTTCAGACGTTAAGCTGTGTGGTTAGATCCTGTGGGCGCGAATCCTGAAGACGTGGGTACAATCCCGCAGCGGCAAA